TATAGTTGACCTTACGAGATTAAATGTTATTCTCAAGATGTATTCCTCCATCACGCTCATTTTATTTTTAACAGATTTGCTTCATTGGAACAATATATTTGGTCATATCATATCTATCTGCATGCTTATACACGCCTGGTTTATGAGATATAATCTTTTTTTCCATAGCTCACGAAATGGATCTTCGATGGCGTCCCATCAGTAAGGCTTTTCACACTGCCCTCCGAATCCATGATCGCGCCATCCTTGTCGGTCCTCCAGAAACGCCGCGAGATCACGTGATCGCTGCTGCCAAGGCAATGCGAACTGGAAATTGGAAAGCTTGTCTCGATCTTATAATCAACGATAAGATGGATGCAAAGGTTTGAGTTCCTACTAAATTATATTTCACCATAAGGTCTTATAATTAAGTATATCGTGTTACACAGTCATTAACATTCTTAAGATGATGAATAAAATTATACGAACATATTTATTGAGAGATCATTGCCATAGATATTGTATTTGCTTGTAATCATTAGTGCTTGCTCATTTCTGTCCATTTAATCAGGTAAGGTTTGTTGGCTAGACTTTCATTTCGTATGAAAGTGCACGAAAAACGGATTCAAAGGTCGATCTCATCAGAATAGGATTGCAGCTGTTTGACTTTACTACGACGTTCAGGTTTACTTCGTTTACGAGACATCCTACCCCTTTTAGAGTGAAAACGGGCTGAGCTTTTGTCCATCATATGGTGGAAATCCTTATAGATGAAACACATTCTTGTAAAAGTATCACGTTCTATTTTACCACTTAGATCGACTCAAGCAAAATAAAATTAATATGAATATATAGATATAGAATAGGTTTGCTAAATATCTTTAGTGTTATTCATACTATTGCTCGAGTGTTTGCATCTGTTAACGTCTATATGCAATACCAGTCTTATCTCAGAGACCAATGTCAGAGTCTGGTCATAAACGCTTAACGGCATAAGAAAATGCCCTGATCTAGACTACATAAATCTGTAAGCAACTATGACTGATATAATGAGATGTAAGCTTGTAATTCTGTAAGTCAGGTTACGAAATCACCTGTCCTAACCGATCAGTCGAGGGTCATTACCGTTTAACCACTCAAGGAAAGGCATGACTAGGGCTGCGTATTCTTGTAAGTTTGGTTTGGTTGCTGAGCTTAATTTAACATTTAGACGATTGTGAGTGAAATTACGATCATCACTGAGCGGACAAGTTGAGTCGTCTTCTTTTGGATGGAGGCTCAACACCATCTCTTTCTTCAATCTATTAATTAAGAATAAGTAGTTCATACTCAACTTTCTACCACCTTTCCTCTCATTCAACGTATTCCCTAATCTATTAATTTTAAATAGCCTCTCTTATCTTCCTTTTAACAGCCGACGTAGCATACTTAGCAAACCTACTAGTTTGAATCCATTCTATCTCATGTCCAGTCTCTTCCATTTGTTTATCCATATGTGATTGTTAGAACCAACTCCCTTATCAAGTTTTTTGTGTTCAATCTTTGTCAAATAGGTCGGCATGTCTCACCAACATAAGGTCGACAATAGGAGCACATAATCTTGTAACAGCCGGATCTCGATACTGCCTCATATTTCTCTCTAAAAGATGGAAATACATAAGGTGTGAGGGTTTCTTTAAACACTATTTTTATTGTTAGGGGGACCTTCATTTCGAATGAAAGTACA